TTTTTTTTTATTATGAAGCACAACATTTCAAAATTTACACGCAAATAATCCAGTGTATTGTAAATCTCATTTATACATCTGCATTATGCTGTCTTTGGCTGAGCACAGTTACGGCCACTATTCGTTTTAGAGGTGGCGCGTGTATCAACATCATGAAGCCAATGAAGCATTCCTTAATAGAATATTGATGCCACAGCGTATCAATTCAACTTCCATTTGCTTCTCACCTATCAACAGGCAGGAAACCACTTGCTGTGGATTTATGCCAACAGCTTCATAAATCGTTCGCTGTTAGACAGCTGGTACCGTTACACTGTTTATCTTTCACTTCATAGCTTTGACTTAAGATGCCTTCAGTGCAAAGTGACTTTAGCCAGTGGGTCATGCTACTCGTGACCAACTGTCGACGATAAATGGTTCAAAATGTGACTCGAAATAATCCACTTACATTGCAAATCTAAATATTCCGTTTGTACTGCTCCTTTTCAAATCTGAAAGCGTGTCGTGCAGCGTGCCTCATCCCATTTGATCTGTAAAACTCACGATGAAGGCTAATTGAATTTAGTTGACAAATTGTCCTCCGTGGATCAAGAGACTGCTGCATATGACCGATGGGCTTGTCATTCACCAGAGGCAAAGTGAGCAAATAGCTTCATGAATGTGTCTGCATGCGTGTCAATGTGTAATGCAGCCGACACTCTCCATGGTTAATGTATCCGACTGCAAATGGTTCTGCGGTTGATGAGTGTGTCACGTTGTTTACATTAGAGATACTTTCTCTCCCTACTAGTATTTCCCCAAGCATGAGCAACTAAATTAAATGCCCCATGCCAATACGAATGGAGCGTCGGGCTCTCCAAGGCTGACAGTGTTGTCCTCAAATCATACGAAGCCAATAAAAAGGACTACTTTGGGCCTAAAAAAAAAAAAAAAAAAAACATATTTGAGATTTGTGGGGAAATACACCCTCCAGTTATCAAAAAAAAAAAAACATTCGCAGACAATATTACAAAACGGCTTGGTGAGAAGTGCAATTTGTATCTTGTCCATCCAAAGTTGATACTTACAAGTACTTTTTATTTTCATAGACGTCATGTAGCTTTAAAACATGCGGGTGTTCGATGAGCTTCAGAATGGCTATTTCCCGCTCCACCTGGATGAAAGAAAATGGAAATAGGAGTAAAGGGGCAGGTAGGAGAAAAGGGAGGTAGAGAAAAAGGAGTTTGATTAGTGGTCCGTCAATTAACTACAGCATATAAAATATAATAACAGTGCTCACAGAATGGCTTGGATAATGTTTATCTCATCTTGTTTGCGCTGCTTCATGTTACTAAGCAGAATTAGTGGAGGAAAAATTCTTCATACGGCACAGCCTATGAAAGACGTGGCAGTCAAGTCCACTAGGCTGCTACAATGATAAACTCAGTGGTGGCGGACAACATTATTGAATTCATATATGTTACGTTCATAAGAACAGTATGATGTTATGTCAGTGCAATTCACTGTATTTCTCCAGATTTCAAATTTGTATCTTGATTTCTTGGAATGCTGATTCACAGAGGCATGGCAAGGGAGCTTTATTTCATCCATCGCAGCTTTATTTCATCCATCGATCTGCATCGCTTTATCCTCCCGAGGGTCACGGGCGTGCTGGAGCCTACCCCAGGCGGGGTACACCCGGAACTGGTTGCAAGCCAATCGCAGGGCATTTTTATTTCTTATTAGTATTTACTTCATGGCACAAGGTAACTCAATGTGCTTTACATAAATAAAGGCGTAACAGTGAAAAGCATCCATCCATCCATTTCCCGATCCACTCTATCCTCACAAGGGTCGCAGGGGGTATTGGAGCCTTTCCCAACTGTCTTCGGGCAGTAGGCGGGGGACACCCTGAACTGGTTGCAAGCCAACCGCAGGGCACACAGGGATGAACAACCATCCACGCTCTCACTCACACCTAGGGACAATTTAGAGTGTTACATTAACCTGCCATGCATGTTTTTGGAATGTGGGAGGAAACCGGAGAAAACCCACGCGGGCACGGGGACAACATGCACAGTTAAAAGCATTTAAAAACAAAATTATTAATTATAATATTAACAACTTTCAAAAACAAAGTACATAAACAAAAGGTACCTGACTAAAATTACAATAAGAAGGAACTGTGCAAGAAAAAGATTTAAAAAAAATGTATTTTTAAAATGCTTGAAAAAAATGCCAATCATAGGCAATGGGGTGGGGGGGGGATAATAGTTTTTAATTTATTTAAAAGCACACCTTCCTTCAGAGATGTTGGAAAGGAGAGCAAAACAGGACCACTCTATTCCCCCCAGTCAAGCACACTTCAGCTTTTACATGTTTTTCTCATTCCTGAGTTGGGGATAAAATATTTGTTTGGAAATTAAACAAAAAGTGCATTAACCTGTCGAGAGTCTATCTACTAAACATACTGCTCACAGCTAGCAGTAGCAAGAAGGTGTCAAAATGTCCACTTGCATCAACTTCTCTCAGTGGATGGTCGCCTTGTCTATGATAGTAAGTGCATAAAAACAGTAAAACGTCCACCGCGAGCTGACAGCTGACTCCACACGTTTCTTTCTTCACTTGAAGAAATGCTGAGAGGCTTCTACACTGTTTCGGGAGACCAGTGGGCACTGGCTTTCACTGAAATCAAGAGGATGAGTTTGGAATTGTATCTCGAGAAGCTGGAGTCAGCATGAACAGCTGTCACTGAATGTCGGCACAAAGCCTACTTGGTCAAATTTTACTGGCTCGCTAGGTTTACAGCCATGAGCTCTCCCTTCTCCTTCTTTCCTTCCTCCATCATTTATGTGTGGATTTGACAAATGAAGGAGATGGGAAGACTCCTCTGCCATGACTCGATCAGGTCAATGTCACTTTCCTTGAGTGCCATGTAACGCGAGTTGTTTTTAAGAGCCCGCATGTTGAGTTTGTCCTGATTTGATTGGGTCCTGCCCACTTGTTGAACAGAAAGCACCATTTACATCTTCAAACTGGTCATACAGCTTCTCTTCAGTGGGAGAAACTGTTTGGTTAATCAGGGCTAATCTTGACTAATGAGCATTATGAGCAGCAGTGCATCATGACACTCTCACCTGGCGCTGCGCTTTGTGGATAAGAACGGGCTGACAGCACCTCTCTCGCTGGCAGCCGGGATCCCCGCAGAGAGACTAATGCTACACGGGATTCAAGGCGAGATGAGCTGTCGAAATGCTACAAAGCCTGCAGCAGGCTTGTTAAGCTACCTCTAGCCACCTACTCTCCATTAATTGAAATACAAAGCATGAGGCTTAAGTTAATGTGGAGACTTAACTGTAAAACTGCATGATTATTGCAAGATTAAGCTGTTGATTAACTCACGGAGGTGAGTTGTTTAGGGCACCACATGCGCTTTCTAGCTTATGGGAGAAATGACCTGCAAAACACCGTCAGACTCACCGCGAATCAAGTTAAGGGTTCTGTCAGTACAAAGACATGCATGCAGGTATTCAGGTAGTTGGATACATGCACCTTCTTAATTGTATTATTCATGTTACTATTGCACTTCCTGAGACTCAATAATTATCTTAACTAATAACCAAGCAGCTTCTCGAGAGGAAGAATAGGGAGCACATCCATACACTGAAGTCAGATCGCATAAATGTAATAGCCAAACGGTGTTTTGGCGGCAATATCATAATTTGACTCGTTAAGTGTGTGGTTATTGTTCTTGACTGGGCAACATTAGGTGAACATGTCGAAACACGAGCTTGTCATGATAGGTTGACTGGCAGCACTTCGATCCACAGGGAATCCATCAGCTTCATATCCTGCCACATTAAAAGGATCAATAGGCTCCAGCACACATGAGGATTGCTGCCTTAACTACAACCACAGCGATGGATGCTGTTGTTGTGAACAGGAAAGACAGACCTTCTGAATAAATAGGAAGAATTGTACAATTGATGTTTAAATTAGGCAGACCACACACCATTGTCGTGTACATGGCCACTCTTTGCAACCTAAAAAGTTACCTGATAGTCTTTTCAAATCATCCAGGGTTATATTACCCAAGTCAGCACATATTCTTCCACTGTGCTGACTTGTATTTGTCTTTGGGTCCTGCCGTCTTCGACAGGATTCTCTGTCATCACTGGCAGACATCTCACTCACTGTTTACACAATCGCTATCTCGGATCCGCTTATCCTCACAAGGGTCACGGGGTTGCTGGAGCCTATCCCAGCTGTCTTCGGGCAGTAGGCGGGGGACACCCTAAACTGGTTGCCAGCCAATCGCAGGGCACACAGAGACGAATAACCATCCACACTCACACTCACACCTAGGGACAATTTGGAGTGTTCAATCAGCCTGCCATGCATGTTTTTGGAATGTGGGAGGAAACGGGAGTACCCGGAGAAAACCCACGCAGGCCCGGGGAGAACATGCAAACTCTACACAGGGCGGCCAGAGCTGGAATTGAACCCGGTACCTCTGCACTGTGAGGTTGACGCGCTAACCACTGGAGTACCGGGCCGCCCAGAAATGAGAGAGGGTTTGCCTACAGACAAGGCCCGGGCTCGAACTTGGGTTCAGCAGTCAGGAATTGCTGTCGTACACCACTGGGCTATCGTTCGACTATGTGATTCATCAAGTGAAAAAGATTGCATGTTTGCTCATGTGTCAGAGGGTGACTAGGAAGACGGTGCCTTCCTGGGACTTGGATAAATGGGACAAATAAGAGGCTGCATGCACTGGTGGTCATAAATGTCACTCAGCTCGAAAATGATGAGAGCCTGCTTAGCATTGCCCCATCAGCCCCATATTGATTCTTGAAATCATGGGCCTGCCTCAGAATAGATGATCAAACAAATAATGGCAAGCATCAGTATCATGGCGTCCAGAGTTCAGTGAGAAGAGGGGATCGCAGGCAGGCAGTAACAAAGATGCAAAGACATTAGATATGTGGGCTGTCACAGGAATCCAGAGGCTGGCCCAAAACTTCAGAGGGGAAAATACTGGATCACAAGTTCTGTCATCTCACACTCTCCGCTTATTGCATCTTGTACCCTTTGGTCCACTAGTCTCTCTCATGCACCGAGAGGGAAAACACAGACATTTCTATCACAACTGCCCCCTAGTCCTCCAAGGCAGACAACCGAAATGTCCCTTGATGCTGAAAAATGGGGATCAAAGTCAACCAGGCAGTCATGTGTGTCAGATATTAAAAACACGAGGGTGGCTACGCTCGCATAGGAGTCCCGGCAATGTAAAAACACAAAAGATGGAATGTGAGAGGACTGAAGCAAATGCACTGTAATGGAGAAGACTAAACAGGAAATGCCAACGTGAAAGGAAGACAGAGCATGGTGGCAGTGCCGGCTTGCTAACCGTACCATGACTTCCTCGCACCCACCTGGGCCTTTGTCTTGCTGCCTAATTAGTAGCTAATACAAGACTTTCACAAGGCATCGTTGTGATGAGATGTGTGATGACAGAGGACCAAAAAAGCAGGAAGGGAGGAGAAGCAGGGTGAACTGAACCAATTGTATGAACAAAAACACTTCCCGAGGCACACTGGACACACTAAATCAAAAACAAAGTCCTGAAAAACCCAATAACTCAAAGTAAGCAACAAACAAAAACCCATAACATTAGCACAATGATCTGACGGCGATTGGTCGGTGTGGCAGTCCTTTTAAATAAAAAGGAGCTAATGCCATGATGACCTCCAATGCCACCTGTTGGTCACAAATGGAACAGAACCATGACAATTGTGGTAAAATGCATATTAAAAGCATTTAACTCATTCACTCCCAAAGACGTATTTAATGGCCGGCCATTTTCAGACCCTTTCAGACCCTTTTCAAGTACAGTCAATGTAAAATGAGGAGCTGGGATTAAATGTGTGGCGTCTGAAAAGACATCTAAATATGTCTTTGGGAGTGAATGAGTTAATCATGGTGTTAAAGGACATATTATGGAAAAGTGATTTTTTTTTAATTGTGGTGGTCATAGGACTGCCTGGGCACCCATCAACCAATAAATACATTTTTTTTTTCTTGGTCACAGAGTGGGCCGGACTGCATCTCAGACCCACTATTAAATAAAAGTAGGATTAATTTGCATGTGTATTTATATAACAAAAGGACAAA